TCCGGGCTGGGGATTCGAACCCGCCACCTTAGGTGTACGTGGCTGGCGCCTTAGCCGGTTGAGCTATAGGCGCTGAGCCTGTAGGCATTTTTAAAGTATGTGATCCTTGGATTAGAAGTGATAGCTGATAATGCTAGCACTTTGAAAGGCTGAGGTATAGGTAAGTGAAAGGCTCAAAGATTTCCCTTAATACACTAATCCTCACCTTTGAGAACCTTTTTATATACTCTTCTCTGGCTACAAGCGTGCTTTTGAGACTCACTGCCTGAGCTGCTTATGTGGCCATCCTGTGACTTGCCTTATACAGGAATGAGGAAAGGGGGATGAACACCACTGTGAAGGCGTCTGGGACATATCACAGTCCTATCTATGCTGAGTTGGTTATTTTGATGTGGGTGAAGGTGAGTCAGTGTTGGCATTTACACTAGATGGGCTGGGCGCACTGGCTCAGGCCTATAATCCTAGCACTCTGGGAGGCTGAGGTAGGTGGATCACCTAAACTCAGACGTTAAGACCAGCTTCAGCAAGAGGAAGACCCCATCTCTACTAAAAGTAGAAAAAACTAGCTGGGCATTGTGGTGCATGCCTGTAGTCCCAGCTACTCAGGAGGCTGAAATAAGAGGATGGCTTGAACTCAAGAGTTTGAAGTTGCTGTGAGCTATGATGCCATGGCACTCTACCCAGGGCAACAGAGTGAGACTCTGTCTCAAAAAAACAAAAATAAAAACACTAGGTGGGCTGTAATGGATCTGAACTTATCTCCTATTGTGTGAGTAAGCCGTTGATGTGTGGTCTGAGCCTCGTCACACTGGCAATGACCTTTCCAGAATAAGCTCTTCCTTAAGTAGGCCAGGCAGGCAGGAAAGATTTCATTTCAAGAGTTCTTTTAGAAATAAAAGTTTTGCTTCTTTTAGGTTGGTACCCAGCCCTTTAATCGAGCCATGCTGTTCAACGTTGGTTTTCAAGAGGCAATGAAAGACCTGAATTGGGACTGTCTCATCTTCCATGATGTGGATCATATACCAGAAAGTGATCGCAACTATTATGGGTGTGGACAGATGCCGAGGCACTTCGCAACTAAATTGGATAAGTATATGTATCTGTGAGTATCATTTCCTCTTAATTAATCAGTTCAAATCTAAAAGGATAGTGAGAAATGTAAAGAGGGTGAAATCTAATTAGGTACAATTCAGGTGTCCATCAGCTGATGAACGGATAAACAGTACTCATACAGGTGGGATACTATTTGGCAATAAAAAAGGAACAAAGTACTGCTGCATACCAAAACCATACGTTAGGTGAAAGGAGCCGGACACCAAAGGTCACATGTCATGTGATTCCATCTATCTGAGATGTCCAAAGTGGCAAATGCAGACAGGTTAGGGATTACCTAGGGCTGGAAGCTTTGTGGGGGAATGGTTGGGGGTGGCAATAAAATGTACTAATACTGATAGTGGTCATGGCTGCACAGCTCAATGATTATACAAAAAACCATTGAATCCTACACTTAAAAATAGACTAGTTGTGTGGGATGTCAGTTCTATCTCAATAAAGCTGTTGTTACAAATCAGTTAGGAATTATTCAATTTGCTACTTTGGTTGAGACATGTCAGAATGAAGATTTAGACAGCCCAGGTCAGGAGCACAGATGCTAGTCCTCAAGCAAGGTGGCCTGTTGGAGGGAAGAAGTCACCCTGTAACACACAGGTGGTGATGCTCTGCGTCTCCTCCCAGGCTTCCTTACACGGAGTTCTTCGGCGGCGTGAGCGGCTTAACGGTGGAACAGTTCCGGAAAATCAATGGCTTTCCTAATGCTTTCTGGGGCTGGGGTGGAGAGGATGATGACCTCTGGAACAGGTATTACCCTTCTTCTTTTTTCTTTTCTTTTTTTTTTTCAGAGATAGGGTCTTACTTTATTGCCCTCGGTAGAGTGCCGTGGCATCACAACTCACAGCAACCTCCAACTCTTGGGCTAAGGCAGTTCTCTTGCCTCAGCCTCCTGAGTAGCTGGGACTACAGGCACCCACCACAATGCCCAGCTATTTTCTTGTTGCAGTTTGTCCAGGGCCGGGTTTGAACCCACCACCCTCGGTATATAGGACCAGCGCCCTATCCACTGAGCCACAGTCACTGCCCTAATAATTTAAAATGCCAATACCTCAGAGTTTTAAATTTGTGAGATAACAACAGTAGAACAAATCTCAAGACGAGGATCAAATGAGATAATGTATATGACGCTCTCCGCCCAATGCAGTAGACACCTCCCTTTCCCACAGCCAAAAATAACTCTAGGGATCGTCCCACTCCCATCTCCAGTTGAGAACTAGTGATGCAAATTAGTTAAGTAAAAGAATGATAGGAAAGATAAATATTTTATTTCCACTTCAGGTTTATACATTTGTCAGCTTTTTGATCCAGGGCTATATATCGCCCTTGCCTTGATCGTGGCTCTGCTGATTGGACTTATCTCTTCTGCTGAACTCAAACTCACAGTATCCTAAACACAGTTTGCAGTTTGTGTTTGAAAGTAGACTGTGGCCGGGCACAGTGCACCTGTGAGGGGTGGGGCGCAGGCTGGGGGGAGTCAGCTCTACTTGAGAGTGGCTTGAAAGGTATCTGCGTGTCAACTCCTTCTACATTTTTATGATTTTCCCTTCAATATTTTATAGTTGTCTCATCCATATCTAATTCACTAGAATTTTTAAAAGATCACTTTCCCCTTACTAGGTCTTTCTAGTCAACGTGTTTTCCGTGGAAACAACTCTTTTGCTGTATTTTGTTAACTTATGTATGGTTTAGGTAAATCATGTGACTATAATGACAGCACAGCTAAACACTTGGGCTCACACGCTGCCGACTCCCAGTGAGCATCGGCACTCCTGCTGGGAGTTGAGCTGTCCAAGCCTATTAGAGAGTAGCCGTTAGACACGGGCACTCAGAGAGCTGTGAGCGTCAATTAGTGTGGGATTGTTTCTAAACGCCCATTCTCTTGTCTTGGACAGAGTACAGAATGCAGGCTATTCTGTGAGCCGGCCAGAGGGCGACACAGGGAAGTACAAGTCCATCCCTCATCACCATCGAGGAGAAGTCCAGTTTCTTGGAAGGTTGGTGCAGTGAGTTTATTTCTCTTACAAGCATCCTCTGAGGCTGAGCATGGTGGCACCCTAGCACTTGGGAAGCCGAGGCTGAGGGTTGCCTGAGCTCATGGGTGCCAGAGCAGCCTGAGCAAGATCGAGACTCTGTCTCTCAAAATAGCCCAGAATTATGCTTGGCGCCTCTAGTCCCAGCTACTCGGGATGCTGAGGCAAGAGGATCGCTTGAACCCAAGAGTTTGAAGTGCTGTGAGCTATGATGCCACAGCACTCTACTGAGGTCAAGAAAGTGAGACTCCGTCTCAAAAAAAAAAAAAAAGATCCTCCGTGCTTTGCACGTCTAAGCGCCTTAGTGAATATCACAACCCCTTAACTCCCCGCACCCTGGCCTGCACCCAAGGTCCTGTTCCGATAGGTCTTGTACAATTACTGTGTGTATTCTAATTTAACTCTGAGGCACACATTCAGGGATGAAATTGGGACACTGGTGAAAATTTCAATAGTAAGCTCTTCTAAGGAAATCTCTTGTTCTGGTTCTTAAGCACAGTAGTCTCCTCTGGAGCCTTTAGGGAATTGTAGGAAAAGCCACCTGGGTGAAGGGCTGATGGGACAAGGCATTTGACACCCTTTTTGTGAGTTCTGATTCTGAACGGCTGTTCCTAGCTGCTGTCTGTGTGGTGGCGGTTGCTATACTACCCTCTTTCTTTTTTTTGTCTTTTGTGAATTGTGGGGAAGACGGTTCTCTAGACCACCAGATCTAATTCCTCAAGTTCCATTTTTATGGGAGTAAAAAGACACTTGAGTACAGACTGTAAACTCTCTCATTTCATTCATTTTTAATGCCTTATGCACGCTGACCTTGGGCAAGTCACTGACCATTACTGAGCCTCGGCGTCCTCGTTTGCTTTGGGGGATGGGGATGGACTTGAAGTGAAGTACCTGGCATGAGGTGGAGGTGTCTATAATAACCACAAGAACAGGGTGCCTGGAGCAGCAGGTGGCTGGCGTGGAGGGCCCCCTGTGCTGCAGAAGTACCGCCCAGGTGTGACGGCTCTGTGAGCCGCCTTGCTCGGTCCTCTGACTGCGAGGAGGTTTGGATCCTTGCTCAGAGGCGTCTCTCTGTTCTCCACCTAAACAGGTATGCTCTGCTGAGGAAGTCAAAAGAACGGCAAGGGCTGGATGGCCTCAACAACCTGAACTACTTTGCAAATATCACATATGACGCCTTGTATAAAAACATAACTGTCAACTTGACACCCGAGCTGGCTCAGGTGAATGAGTACTGAGACAGGGAGAGAATGTACATTTGCTTTACCCACCACCACCAAGAAAGCAGTCTGATGAGACGTCGCGAGTGTCCACACAGAAAGAGAGGAGAAGGGCAGCGTCCAGTGAAGGATCACAGGTCCGCGCACACGCACAAACGCCTTCACTGGACTGGCCTGCTGCACTGAGGGAGTGAGACCGGACTTCCTTCATCAGCACTGGCTTTCTGTTTTCACCAGATGGACGTCTGTCCTGCTGCTCTCTCCCCTGTCTCCTGGCCCCACGTCCTGTCTTAGCCACAATCTCCAGAACCTGTGATGAACTGTGATCTGCCTTGGTCCTGCCGTGGAGCCTGTCCCTACAAATGACTTTTGGAACCTCTTGGCCTCCAGAGCAAAGAGGCAAACCCCCCACAGGGCAGCTGTGTTTTAGGAAGAGCAGATGAAACTCCACACACCATTCTTCTGTATCTCCGGTGTTCTCTTCGGTTTCATTTTTTAAAAAAAAACACAACAAGACATTACCTGCTTTGGGTGGGGACTGAGGGTGGAGGGGAGGGACTTGGGAAAGATAAATAGACATAAATATATAACAATCACTTCTTGAGGAAGTAAATTGTAAATAAGCCATGTAAAATGCCTTTTTTAAATTTAATTTTATAACTGGCTCCAAGTCAGATGAGGATTTATACGTTAGATCACTTACTTGGTTGGCAAATGTAGGAACTCAGTTAAAATGCAATTGAAGAATATCATCTCTCAAATTGCTGTCACTTTAGGAAAGGAGTGGATATAGGGTGTGTCATACACACACACAAAAAGAACAAAATAATCCAATCTCCATCGCCTGCTCCGCAGGTCCTGCTCTGGACTCTCCCTCCAGATTCTCTCCCTCTCTGGGCTATGCGCTCATCCCCACCTCCTGCCAGGCAGGAGGTGGCAGTTCTAGAGCAGGCTGTTCTTCCCGCCCAGAGCAGACCCTGGGGGGGTTTGCTGTGCACACGTCCTGGCTCTCTGGACTTGACTTTTTGTCCTTTCATGGTCAGAAGGATCTGAGAGAGTGGGTGTCGTGTGTGATTGCCCCCTCCCATCTTTCTCTTGTCAACTTGGCCACAGTTCCTGAAAGATGTGCCTAAATTACCCGCTGGTTTCCTGATTCCTTTGTTTCCCTTTTTGGTTTCTGGAGTGATTGTTTGTCAACATTATTAACTAGTAGAAAGAACTAATAAGCAATTGAATTAGGGAGAATCTAGCCAGGGAGCAGGTGACACTTGGGCTTCCTGGGTCAGCTGGAGTCCAGGTAAGACCAGAATCAAAGCTTTGAAAGTAGACTAAGCAGAGCTCCAGAATGCAAGAGCCCAGGTGCTCTGCTTATGTCCCTACCTGCTTTTTGAAGTCGTATTCTAAATTGCATTTGAATTTGTGCCTCTTTGTTTTTCCCTGAACCAAAGCCCTCATGGTCCCTATCAGCTTAGTGCAGAATTCTGGAAGATGCCAGTTTTTCCCCCCTCACTTCCTTCCCATAGAACATATTTATATATCGTGATTCGGAGTACTTTCTGAAGAGTGCTTCTTATTTTTTTTAATTGCCTTGTTTGCCTTCAACTTCCTTAATTTTCATAGTTTACATGGGGGTGTGTGTGTAGGGATGTGTGTGTAGCTATGTCTGGGTCCGGGCTTATTTCCTTGCATGTGTTGGTTCCGTGGACATATGATCCCCGCAGACTGTGGGAGTGATTGGCCAGGACTTGTTTTTTTGTTCGTGATTTTGTTCTTTTGAAGAATAGAGTGGCATTTAGAAAATAAATTGCATTGCAAAGCTCTTATCAGCTCGTATGTGAGAGCAGGCTCCTGCCCTTGAAAGTGCTGGTAAGTTGTATCATATGTTTTAAAAGAATTTTAAGCATTTCGTGCTTTAAAATACCTTCATGAGGGAACATTACAAAAGTTCATTTGGTTTTCCTTTGTTTTACTGTGCATAGAGCAATAAAGACCCCGCCCCAGGCCTTGGGCCAGCCTTGGCTCTCTTACCCTTCTCATTCTGCTCTCCTCTCTCCTCTGGGAAGGCTGTGAGTTGCTTTCGCTATGAAGTCACTCAGAAGGATTTGCCAGGACAGACTCATTCTTGGTTCAGCTTGAGGTGTATGTGTGGGAGTGTTGTAAGATGACCTTGTTTGAAGCTCTGTGTTAACACAATTACCAAACCTAGCACCTAACTTTGAACAGAAGGCGCTGAGGGTTGAGGACCTAAGGAAAGGTGCTGTCAGCGAGCCTCACTTCTTTCTCTCGCAGTCAGGTCTTTGAGTTTGCGTTTATTAGCACAGAATCTCTCAGTGTGCGTTGTCGGTCTTTATCCACCACATTGAGTGGTGTCCAGGAAATGTGATAGTTAAAAACACACAGCCAGTTCCAAGTGCTGCTAATAGTGTGAAATTCCCATGTTAACAAACAACAAAAAGAACCCCGTAAGAATCAAATGTGACCTTGTGCATATTTTGGCAGCTGAAGTTCTTCAAGGCTACTGATGGGTGACCTCAAAGTCAATCTATTTTTTTTTGAGACAGAGTCTTACTATGTTGCCCTGGGTTGAGTGCCGTAGCATCACAGCTGACAGCTTAGGCGAGTCCTAACTCGCCTCCAACTCCTGGGCTTAGGCGAGTCTCTTGCCTCAGCCTCCCAAGTTGCTGGGACTACAGGCACCCACCACAACGCCCGG